ACCCCTGTGAGCACCATCACGCCCTCCCTGCCCCACTCACCCCTCTCCCTCCTGCAGGGAGCTGTAGCCCTGGCTCATCTCACCCACGATGGCAGGGCTCTTCCAGAAGAGCAGCTCCACAAAAGCTTTTTTGTTGGTGGCCGCCAGCGCAAAGAACTTGCCCACGATGAACTTCGCCAAGGTCACCAGCTCCTGGGGACAGCAGGAGGGAGAGAGGGGCTGGGGGACAGCAGGGACAGCGAGTGGCAGTGGGGGACACTGGGGATGAACAGTAGGGCTGGAGGATCCTGGGGGCTGAGGGAAATTTGGGATACAGAGCTGGGGAACACCAGAGATGGAGAGAGGGGCTGGGGGATGTGGGGACAAAGAGAGTGGGGCTGGGGGACAGCAGGGATGGAGAATGGGGCCAGGGCCTGCACAGAGCAGGGCTGGGAGATGCTGGGGACTGAGCGGGGCTGGGAGATTTTGAGGACTGAGTGGGGCAGGGATAGAGAAAAGATTCTGGGGATTGAGTGGGGCAGGGACAGAGAAGGGCTGGGGGATTCTGGGGACTGAGTGGGGCAGGGACAGAGAAGGGCTGGGAGATTCTGGGGATTGAGTGGGGCAGGGACAGAGAAGGGCTGGGAGATTCTGGGGACTGAGCAGGGCTGGGAAGTTCTGGGGTTGAGTGAGGCTGGGGGCTGCAGGGACGGAGCAAGGATTGGGAGATTCTGGGGACCGAGCGGGGCTGGGGGCTGCAGGGACTGAGTGGGGCTGGGGGCTGCAGGCACAGAGCAAGGATTGGGAGATTCTGGGGACTGAGCAGGGCTGGGGACTGCTGAGGACTGAGTGGGGCTGGGGGCTGCAGGCACAGAGCAAGGATTGGGAGATTTTGGGGACTGAGTGGGGCAGGGACAGAGCCAGGATTGGGAGATTCTGGGGACTGAGCAGAGCTGGGGGCTGCAGGGACAGAGCAAAGATTGGGAGATTCTGGGGACTGAGCAGGGCCGGGGGCTGCTGAGGACTGAGTGGGGCTGGGGGCTGCAGAGCCAGAGAAGGGCTGGGAGATTCTGGGGACTGAGTGGGGCTGGGGGCTGCAGGGACTGAGCAACGATTGGGAGATTCTGGGGACTGAGTGGGGCAGGGACAGAGCCAGGATTGAGAGATTCTGGGGACTGAGCAGAGCTGGGGGCTTCAGGGACTGAGTGGGGCTGGGGGATGCAGGCACAGAGCAAGGATTGGGAGATTCTGGGGACTCAGCGGGGCTGGGAGATTTTGGGAACTGAGTGGGGCAGGGACAGAGCAAAGATTGGGAGATTCTGGGGACCGAGCGGGGCTGGGGGCTGCAGGGACAGACCCTCTCGGGCTGGAGAATTCTGGGGACTGAGTGTGGCTGGGGGCTGCAGGAACAGAGCAGGGCTGGGAGATTCTGGGGACTGAGTAGGGCAGGGACAGAGCCAGGATTGGGAGATTCTGGGGACTGAGCAGTGCTGGGGACTGCTGAGGACTGAGTGGGGCTGGGGGCTGCAGGCACAGACCCTCCCGNCGTCAGGTGCTTCATGATGTTCCCCAGGACGTCTGTGGGGAGCAGGGTCAGGCTGGGGAGGCCACAGGGGGGGATTTTTGGGGGTCTACCCCTCATGTCCAGCTCACCATCCGAGCCCTGGAACTCCTCGAAGAGCCGCGTCAGCTCCTCCTCCTGCTCCTGCGTCCACAGCACGATGCGGGTGCCTTTCCTGGTGGTGGGAAACACTTGTGGGTCAGTTCTGTCCCTGGGGGGGTCCCTGCCCTGTCCCTGAGGGGGGTCCCTGACCCACCTCTCCCTTGGGAAGTCCTTGGCACTGCTGGCCAGCCCCATCCTCACCAGCTGCTTCACCACCTGCCTGCGCGTCCGTCCAGGCGAGGGGAGCTGGGCCAGGATGGCAGCGATGATGTCCCCACCTGTGGGACAGCAAGGGTGAAGGGACAGAGCCCCTGCCACCCCTCAGGGGTCCCACTGAGACCCCAGAGACCCCCCCAGTACCTTCCATCTCCTTGTATTTCCAGTAGAGCTCCCGCAGCTCCTGCTCCTCCTGAGGGGTCCAGGGGGGCACCCGGCTCCGGGTGGTCCTGGGGAGGGGGAGAAGGGAGGGGAGGATGTCCCAGACATCTTTTTATGAAAATCCCTTTCTTTAGGATTTTTTCTTCTTGAGAAGCTGAGAGGCTTCAAGAACAAAATGTAAACGTTGATTATCTGCTGCTGTGGGATGCAGCTGGTGGATCTGTGATTGGTCTTGTGTGGATGTTTGGATTTAGTGACCAGTCATGGCAGAGCTGCTTCTCTCTCTCTGTCCGAGCCAGCTGCCTTTGTTATCATTCATTTCCATTCTATTCTCAGCTTAGCCAGCCTTCTGAGATTAAGCTTTTCCTTCTATTCTTTTATTATAGTTAAAATGTAATATATATATCATAAAATAATAAATCAANTTCTATTCTTTTATTATAGTTAAAATGTAATATATATATCATAAAATAATAAATCAAGCCTTCTGAAATATAGAGTCAGATCCTCGTCTCTTCCCTCATCCAAAAACCCCCATGACAGAAGGGAGAGCAGCCCCCTCCTGTTGCAGACAACTTTTATGAAAAATCCTTTCTTTAGGATTTTTCCTCCTGAGAAGCTGAGAGGCTCCAAGAACAAAATGTACACAATGCAACAGTTGGATTTTTGATTGGCCCATGTTGGTTGTTTCTAATTAATGGCCAATCACCAAGTCCAAGTCCAAGTCAGCTGGCTTGGACTGAGTCTGAGCCACAAACCTTTATTATCATTCTTTCCTATTCTATTCTTAGCTAAGCCTTCTGATGAAATCCTTTCTTCTATTCTTTTAGTATCGTTTTAATGTAATATATATATCATAAAATAATAAATCAAGCCTTCTGAAACAGAGTCAGATCCTCATCTCTTCCCTCATCCAAAGACCCCAGTGAACACCATCACAGGAGAAGGGAGAGCAGCCCCCTCCTGTCGCAGACAACTTTTATGAAAAATCTTTTCCTTAGGATTTTTCCTCCTGAGAAGCTGAGAGGCTCCAAAAACAAAATGTAAGCATTGATTATCTGCTGCTGTGGAATGCAACAGGTGCATCTGTGATCGGTCTCATGTGGTTGTTTCTAATTAACGGCCAATCACAGTCAGCTGGCTTGGACACAGAGCCCGAGCCACAAACCTTTGTTATCACTCTTTCCTATTCTATTCTTAGCCAGCCTTCTGATGAATCCTTTCTTCTATTCTTTTAGTATTGTTTTAATGTAATATATATATCATAAAATAATAAATCAAGCCATCTGAAACAGAGTCAGATCCTCATCTCTTCCCTCACCCAAAAACCCCTGTGAGCACCATCACGCCCTCCCTGCCCCACTCACCCCTCTCCCTCCTGCAGGGAGCTGTAGCCCTGGCTCATCTCACCCACGATGGCAG